TTTTTTTTTTTTTTTTTTTTTTTTTTTTTTAGCTGTATCTTAACAACTGCTTGCTCGATTTGTTATAAACCTAGAAAAACGTTCCGACATGGAAGTTTGATAGTTCCGTTTCTTTACAATTTTGTATATAGATTTATTGTTTGCTAATTTACCTTGACTAGGATCTTTGAATATGACTTCTTAGTTTTACTAGAATAAGTTGAAGCTTTATTAATAGTGATCTGTCTTCATTTGCGATTTGTGGTCGGAATCAAACTAATTAGGGAAGCCATTTTTCTAGCATGTAACCTTGAGTAATTTGATGTTATAGCGCCTGCTTTTAATTTAACACTTGAGGCAGTTGTGAAAATTTGAAAAGATTCAAGGCATTGTGCAAAAGACCTTCAATTTCTTGTCTTTTGTTTTTTCTTCAATTGATTATACGGTGCTGTCGATAGTTTTTAACTGTGGCTAATCGACAGTTAGAACAAGGTCTTTTGTAATTTTTTCTTGAAACAAATTATTCACCCGGTCCTGTTTGACTGAGGCCATGTATGTCTTTAGTCGTGCAGGCCACAAACTTCTTTACTATGAGGCAAATTTTAGATCAATTCAAAAACGAATTTTTATCACATTTTGTTTACATTTGCAATCTTTTAACGCCTGAAAGTTTACTGCCTGCCTCTGGCTCTTGTATTTATTTGGGGACTGCATCATCTAGTTAATCTTTTTCAATAGTTGCTTTCATCTGAACTGTTTGAATAGAGTTTTTTAAACGGCTGTGTTTAAAGGTCAGCCTACACAATCATTAATTCAATTTTCTTCTTGACCTTTTTTCCCACATTAATATGCGATTGTTTAAACAAGCTTATCGTTTATTCTGTGCAGGTGAGTAAAGGTATTCTCGCTTTTCTCTTTATTTATTTGAACACTTAAATTTTTGTGTTATATCGTACTGGAATTTTGATCAGTTGAAGCAGGCAAATAATTTTTGCTATAAGTAGATCATGTTGTGGTAGCTTTTAAAGTTTTCCACATTGCCTCTGAGTCGCTATTGCCTTGTAATTTATTTTGAGGTATTTTTCAGCTTGTGATCTACAGGTAATCGTAATTTCTATTTCAAATTTAGAAACTTTCAAAAGGATTTTGCTGAGAACTAGTGGAAGAAACATTTAAAGTTAAAAAGAATTTTAGTTGTTAATGTCTGAATCGAATGGTCATGTTTTTGAATCTGGGTCATAATTTTTTTATTGGTCTTATAACAGATCTATTTTTAGTGTATTATTGACGGCGACCTCTGCGAACAGTACGCTCTTATGCCTACGGACAAACAAAAGTCTGTAGCGGAAGAACTTGGAAGAAAAACAACTGAGGTGAGTTAGCTTGACCTTCTAAAATTGGCAATTATGAAATCTTAAGTTGGACTGGAAATTCTTTCTGGTAAGCTGTAAGAGCGCATTTGTTGTGTGTAATTTTCAATAAATCCCAAATCTTTAAATGAACACTTAAGATTCACAAAAAGTTGGAAGATTTACGAACTCGTTACGCGTTCTAAATGGGTCGCCGTAAGGGTAACTTTCCCCTTAATAACAAATACAGCGAAGTTCGTGGAGTTTCCTTTGGTGAAACTAAAGTATCAGCCCTGGTTCTTTACAATTTCTTCATATCTACAGTTTTGATGACTGTTTTAGTCATTGATTACTTTAGTTTTCGTCTGGCTGCTCCAACTTCTTCATACGGGATGCATTTAACCTTCTTAGGACCAATCCTTTTGATCGTTTTCACCTTTATGAGAAGATTTTCTTCTGTAGTCTGACCATAAATTTTAAAACCTGGGTTTTTTTAAATTTTTCCTCGCAACCTTGTTATTAGCTATGGTTGTTTTTTGTTTCACTCATTGTATCTGAGTCGGTCAGGCGTATCAAAACGGTTGGTTATAATTTTTCTTAATTCTTTATGTCTGGTCTCAAATTCTGTTTTCTTTTCTCTCATGTGTTTTGATAACTATTACTTGCATCATTATTACAATTATTACTATTTTTGCTGCTGTTTGTTTGTTCGTTCGTTTTTGTTATGTTGTGAGGACATTCTGACCTAATGAAATGCTACGCTCTAATAAGACGTCGAGGAATTGTCGGGCAATTTAAAATTACATGGTTTAGTAATATATGGTTGCTTAATAAAATTTTCAACTCGTTCTACAGTTTTTTTTGAAAAACACTTCAAGTTGTAGCCGGTAGTTGTTTATTTTAGGAGAAGTTTTCGTCTATAAGTTTTGTGAAGTCGCCTGTGTGGGCGTTTGAGGAATTTTTCTGTCTTGGAGGAGGCTCCGAAATAGCAGTTTATTGTTTTTGAAAAACTTCCCTTGCAATCGTGCTGCGCGGATTTTTTTCAAGAACGTTAGCGGAAATGGTGGAGGCTAGGTGTGCACATTCGGGCAAAAAATTGCGATTAGTAGTTGTGCTGTCGTCGTTTTTGAGGTGGGGAATGTTCTTGACCTTGGCGCAGTGTTCTGGAAACAGAAGGCAGGGCGGAGGACTGAACAGTTCGTTGCCGTCTTAAGCCGTTTTTGGAACTCATCATGTTTACACTGTTGCTGAAAGTGTCGTTTGTGAAGTTGAATAGATGGAAGGATTCAATGGCAGTGTTTGGGAGCGATTTCTCAGAAGTGGTTTTTATTGACGGACGAATTTGTAGGTCTTGCAGTTAGGCTTTTTCAGCGGCGAGGAGCTGCTTACTGAAAGGTGGGGGAGAACTGTGGTCTGCAGCAAAAAACAAGTTTTTTATTGTTCAATTTAGAAGTTGTCGTTGCTGGGGGCTTTAGAACCTTATTCCGCCCCTGACGTTCAATTTACAGTCTTTTTTTTTCAGTTTTTTGTTTCGTTTTGGCTTTTTTCATTTTTTTTTGTGGGACCATTATTTAACAGCCGTCTTTCTTGAATTGACGATGTCCTTTATTTGGCTTACTACTGCTGCATTAATCGTGCTATTGCCGAAAGTACCACATGCTAAGCAATTGTTACTGCTTCCGTCAAGCGGATGCTACAGTCATGATGTGATGATGAGAGAAGTTGGAAACTCATTTTCAGGTAATTTCTAAATAGAAACTTTCTTCAAAAAACTTACAGTTCTTTTTTTGTATTTGGTAGGGAATCACGTTTTTTGAACAGTAAACGAATAAAACTAGAAAAAATTTCTACTTTCTAACTCAAATGTGTGTTGATGAAAGAAAATTTTTTTTTTTTTTGTTTTTTTTTTTGGTTTTTCATCACTTTTTTGGTTTTTTTTGCTATCAACAACTACTTTCCTATCTGTAAGCCTTAGACTTTTTGATTGATTTACAATAGAAGTGTTGGGACGGCAAGTTTTGGAAACTGTAGGGTAATGCACTTTATCAGTTTTTCTATTGTGTAATGAAAACTTTTGCAAAAAAGTGAACTGAATAAGGGAAAGTCCACTTGTCTTTTTTTTTCTCATAATTTCGTTTACATAACCGCATTGTTGCTGTTCTTTTAACCAATAATAGCCACTTATTGTACGGTACTATTTTGATTTTATTTTATTTACACTGTGGAGAAATATTTATTTTAAAATATTATTAAGATTTACGTTGAAGTTTTGAAGTCAGATTTTTAAATTTTGTTCAGTGTCTCTTTTTGACAACACAAAGAAAAAAACTCAAGCTGGTTCGTGTACATTTTTCGTAATGTATACGAACCAGCTTGAATTTTTTTTTGTCGAAGAGTAAAAAAGCAGTTATTTTTTACCAATTTTTTAACGTTTGTGAGCTGTACTCTGTCCTTTTTAATGGCATACGCCCAGAATTAAACTTTTTTAACTTTTGATGAGTAATTGAGTTTGGTTTATATTTAATACAGAGGCGGTTTATTTTACTAATTTTTTTTGAGAACTTTGCATGAAAGTTATCTGATTTTATGGCCTTTTTTAAAATTTGACTAGCTTTGGCAAATTTCTAGCAGTAAATACCTCGACGGATTCAAAAAACTGTTATTAAAACTTCTGCAGTACTCTTTTTGACAAGCAAACAACAATGGTAATAGAACTGCTTTACAGCAAAAAAATTATTACTTGGACTAGGAAGTAAAACTTTAAAAGTCTTCACGAACTATATTAAGTCTGAAGCAAAGTTTCAAGTTTTACTCGGTTGTTTGGTCGCTTCTCTCGTTCAAGCATTTGCTGTTACCTGCCGCTAATTTGCAGATCTTACATCTGTTCTTTTATTTGGTGCCTGGTTTCATTAATGAGATCAGTTCAACGGGAAAATGGTACTCCATTTTCAGATTGCTGAACAACAAAAAAAAATCCTTCAATTGATCTAATAAAACACCATTCACCTATAAAAAATCCAAACTGCCATAAAATTTTTAAGAATGTTTCTACTTTTTAATACTGCTTTGTTTTATTGTCAGACTTGTATTTTTTTTTTCTTATTAAAATGTAACCAAGAAATTTTTTCAATGAACTCATTAAACATTTTTTACTATAAGTAGCAATTAGATCAAAAGAAGTTCATTGAGCAGAAGCTATAGATACTGTGAGTTTCATTAGTTTATCGGGAAAATTTTCTTTTTAAGCGTTGTTTTAAATAAGTAATTATAGCAAAAATTTGGTAAATGTTAGTGTTGATTGAGGCTTCTTTTTATAGTTAGATTCTTTCTGCTGTTTCGATGCTTACTTTTTGATCAGGGTTTGCATAAGCAGCTTTGTAATATTGAATTGAATGTTAAATAGCTGGCAGAACAATTAAATTTAGCTTTTTTATTGATAATAATTGCAAATAAATTTTTTGATTAAAATAACTGAACAGAAAATTATGAAATGATTGCTGTTGCTACATTTGATATTGGAGTTTTTTTCGTAGTCGTCACTTAGTTTTTTGCTTTCTGTTTTTCAAGGGCAAGTAATGCTCTGACTTACTGCGAATAAAATTGTACTTACTTAAAAAACGTGTCCCCCTATAAGCAAAAATTTTGAAAAATAAATACGGTGTTATTCTTCTCACTTTTTGCTGAAA